AAAAAAAAAAAAGGTTCAATCAGTCAATTTCAACTTCTCGCGGGAAAAAAAAAAGATCTTGCAAAGTTGGAATTGATTGATTGAACTTTTTAGTCCCACCCAGTCTGCCGTTACCATTGCAGCCACGCCCACCCAATGGGCCACGCCCACCCAATGGGCCACACCCAGCCAATGGGCCACACCCACCCGGCACTCGACAATGCATAAGTAGGTTTTGGGTTGCAGTTTGGGCACTCAGTCTCTAAAAGATTCCCCATCACTGTTTTATCTCATCTTCTTATCTCATCTCATCTCATCTCAGCATCCCATCTTATCTTATCTTGTTTCATTTAAAGGCCATTTTAAAATAGCTCAGTCCACAAAGTATTTAACTGAAATTATTAATTTTGGTTATTGATCAGCCTTAAATAATACAGAAGGAAGGAGTGTGCCCATTTTTCTAAGCCAAAATAAAAGTTACTTTTCACTAACTGAGGCACCTGGGACAATTAAAGAAAACAACACCAGTCAACATGGAAACTACAACTGTGTGATGACAACCCCACTCCCTTTTAGTGTGCAGGCAATGTGCATGCACAATGCTCATTGAAAGAGGCGGGGCTGTCCTCACAATTTTGTGACTGTCCTCTTAACTGTTTTGCTCTTTTCAAGAATTCCCTTACCGTAAATTAGACCACAATACAGAAGTGTTGTGCTGATATGATAGCAAAAGGAAGACAGGGTGTTTTGTCTGAAAAAGGAGTAAGAAATTGCTCATACACACCAACACACAGAGAGGGTGAGTAATTGTCTAACCACCGCACGCTATTTGCCTATATTGAAAAAAAATGTCGTGTTTGGTTTTTAAAAATAAATAGTGTACATAAGGCCACCTTATTGTTATTCATCCCACATATAGAAAAGTTCTTGAAATGTAATATAAATGACTCAGAGAAAAAGAAGCTAAAGAGATTTATTTTCAGAAAACTCCAAACAAAATCCTTTAGCACTCCGTAGTTTGGTAATAAGGTTACATTCGGTACTTTTGGAATATCCAGGGAGCCATTAATCATAATTTGTTTAAAAAAAAAATGCAAGCAAAATATGCACTGGGGCTCAGAAAAAAAAACTCTGACTCAACACGCAACTAATTTCAAGCACGATATTGCTTAATAGATTGTCCAGCCACTCTTTGTGCAAAAATAGCACAGGATAAGCCACTGGTTATTAACCACGGCAGAGATTTAATAAAGAGTTTGTTATTATGGTTGGTTGCACAGTCATCCAGATGTTTAGACCTGGATTTGGCACCTTTGTCCATCTCTCGAGTCCTTTCCAAGGACCTGGGATAAGGCAGATGTTGTTCTTTGATGTTGCTAGAGGGATCCTGCCAAAGGGGCTTTTTCAGGAGGCAACTGGACTTTCTTGTTTTTCCTCTGCAGATGTTTCGCTTCTCATCCAAGAAGCTTCTTCAGCTCTGACTGGGTGGTGGGGAACGGAAGGAGCTGAGCTGAAGTCAGAGCTGAAGAAGCTTCTTGGATGAGAAGCAAAACGTCTTCAGAGAAAAACGAGAAAGTCCAGTTGCCTCTTGAAAAAGCACCTTTGGGACAACCATGACCTGGATGACTGAGCATCTCCATAGACAGTTAGAGCAGGGGTCTTCAAACTTGGCAACTTTAAGACTTGTGGACTTCAACTCCCAGAATTCCTCAGCCAGCCCTGAGGAGTTGAAGTTCACAAGTCTTAAAGTTGCCAAGTTTGAAGACCCCTGAGATAGAGGTTTCATTGCCAATTGTCAACTGTTCCAACTAAAGCCACCTTTTGCAATTGACTGATGGGGAATCCGTCAATGCCGATGGGGTTCAAGTGGTCCTCCAGCTGTTTTGGGATTGCACCCATCACTGCTAAAAGGGAGTGGGATTTATGGAGAGGAGGAGGAGGAGGAGGAGGAGGAGGAGGAGGAGGACGAGGACGAGGACGAGGACGAGGACGAGGAGGAGGACTGTAGGGTCCTTGATGCTCTCTGAGCTGGGTTTTCTTGCAGACGTTTCATGACCCAAACTAGATAACATTATCAGTACTAGTTAAGAGTGGGGTCTGCTCTCAGTTTATATTCTGGGTGCTTGCCCTGTCCAGATTGGTGGGGATGGTCTTAAAGATTCTTTGGTTGGGCTGTTTGGCTATTGGCTTTTTTGGCAGTTTCTTAATTGGGGTATTGTTTACTTCTTGGTTATCATTCTGATGTTAATCTGGGTTTTTTTTTTGTTTGTTCTCTTTTTGGCTGGTTGATAGTCTCTTTTGCATAGTCTATAGATGTTAATATATGTGTGTCTATTGATGGCTGATTAGTCAGAGTGCCCTGGCATTTTTGGATTTAGCTTGGTCTAGGTAGGACGATCACATTTTCCCAATCGAAACTATGGTAAAATATGTCTATATGTTGTGAAACTGAAGAATGTTTATCATGTCATGATGATGATGAGGTTACCTAGTTTGGGTCATGAAATGTCTGCAAGAAAACAGCCAAGCTCAGAGAGCACCAAGGACCCACAGTCCTCCTCCTCCTCCTCCTCCTCCATCATTCCACAAACCCTACTCCCTTCTAGCACTGATGATGTTACCTAGTTTGGGTAATGAAATGTCTGCAAGGAAACAACCAAGCTCAGAGAACACCAAGGACCCCACAGTCGTCGTCGTCGTCGTCGTCGTCGTCGTCCTCCTCCTCCTCCTCCTCCTCCTCCTCCACCACCACCACCACCACCA